TAAATTTGCAGGCAGCATCTTTCGATGCTGGATCCACATTGCTGCTTGCAAACGATCCGTTTCAGTGTGGATCCAGCACGATGCGATCCGAGCATTGTTCACTGTTTGCTGGTGTGGTCCGGACGGGACGGAGCGGGATGGAGAAAAAAAAAAAAGAAAAAAAAGAAGAAGAAGAAGCGAAACAGAGCGAAAGAAGAAGAGCAAGGAGATGGAAAAAACAACGGAAAGTGGATCGTGGCCTGGCGGTGGTCGCCACGGTTAAAGTAGAACTGACCCCGAGTTGTCACGTTTAATTTATATGTTAATGAGCGCATGTCACATTTCAACGGTACGGAGGCAGCCGCCCCGTGCACTTCACTCCATTCGCGAGCACCGCGAGAAGAGAGAAGAGAGTTGTGCCCCGTTCATTCCACTCTCCTTCTATGCCCTCCTTCGTGCCGCCTGCCACAGGTTTATATTTAACCGCGCGCCACACACCATGGCACAGCCCACTCTGCCTTTACTTTACTCTCCTGCCTTCTTTCTCTCTCTCTCTCGATTGGATTCTCTTTTTATCTTTCTCGTCCTCCACCTACTCCTTCTTTCCATTCACTCTACACCGTCCGCGATTTCTGCCGATTTTTCCTCTCTTCTTTGCTTCCGTTCTCTTCTGCTGATCCCATTTGCCAGCTCTTCCGTTTCTTTCTCTGGCTTTCGCCGAAAGCTTCGTTTGCTAGAAGCTTCTTCCCTTTCGTTCTTCCTCTTTTCTCTAATCTTTGCTCCATTCGTTCGGCCTTCCCCTCTCCCGTTCGTTGTCTTCGCTTTTTATTTCATCTTGCTGATCTGTTTTCTCACGATGACTTCGCTCGCGCTTAGACTTTGCCATCTTATTTGACCGCCTTCAAGTCGATACAGATAATTTCGAAACGTGTGTATTTAAGATACGGTGACTGGAATTCGTTTGTATTAGTCATTCATGAAAATCAATGGAACATTAATGAATAAGAGAGAAAGAGAGAGAGAGAGTAGTACAGATATGATATTTGACGTTGCTGCTCGATCTAGAGAAGTCAACTTTATCCCCTATGATATCGACTGCACTACAGTGATCATTGGAATTGTTTTATTTATATTGAAGGAACAACTACGTTCCAAAAATATTTATGATATATATTTTTAATATCATTGTAACAGTATAAAGCATTAAATTCACAGCGGAATGCTTAAATTATTGCTAAACTGCGGATTTTCATACAAATCAATATTTCGTATAACAGAAACAATAAAAATAATAGAGGTAATTAATTTAATATTTCATATAAAAGTATATGCTCTAATTTTCCAATGAATTTTCCATCTTTTTATTAGATTCTACATGTCATTTTCAATTATGCTAACGAACGATACGAAACTTTGATAAATGAATGTATTATCATAAATACAATCTGCAGATATTTCTCGCGATCGCCACATATCATGCTAAAACAACTGAGATCGTAAAATTCGTCACAGTCAATTAATTAACTACCCTTTCATAAACAATTCTATCTGTCCACAAAGATAAACTCGAAACCGAGTGCGCGGTATTTCACTTATTCAAACCTACACTCGCATTAACGCGTTGACTGCTACGACGATTATTGGTGACTAGTATTTCTATATTGTAAATGATCGTGCTGAATGTTTAAATTTAAATAAAATGAATGTCATTGATAAAAAGATTTTAAATGGCACGAATAACTGGACAATACTATAGAATTAAAAATGCGTTTTCATTACGCTTCCACTGCAGCGTAGCGTTGTAGAAATTAAACATCAAATTTTGTAGAATTCACGAGAGATTTCGAGGTTTAAAAGGAAATTACTTTCCAATAGAATTTTACATGATTTTTCGTGAATTCTGTAATTGAATGTACTTTGCAGAAGATGAAATTTTGAAAAGTTCCGAGGCTTATTTTTAATCTAATAATATTCTACTGATTTTAATCTAGTAATCTTGCGATGAAAATGTTCTTTTGATCATATTACTTTTATCCTGAAAATTTCACAAAATTATTGCAAAAATTATTCATAAAAATTCAGCATTTTATCTCACAAGCAAGATGTCTATTTCGAAATTTCACTCCAAACACCTTTGAAAGCACTTATAAACGCGATCGGAAAACCGTGCATTCTGCATTACAGAAATGCTCGGACTATAAAGCATCGAAGGTGAACACGTTCGCGAGGACCGAGCCACCGGACACGCAGGTGACGAAGTCGGTGATCGCGTTGTTGCTGCATTATGGCTGGAACAAATTCACCATCATCACGGAGAGCGCTTGGTCGACGGTGGCCAGGTCATTGGAGGAACAGGCCACCAAGAATAATCTGACCGTGAACCATTACAAGACCGTGGAAGATCGACACACGTGCTGCGAGGAGAGACTGCCCTGCTGTCAAGTCAGCGTATGGTTCCAGCTCATACAGGAGACGAAAAATATGACTAGAAGTCAGTTGAAATTTCATTTCACGTTTCGATATATTTAATTTCGCCTCGGGAGCCAAATTGATCAACTCTTTCGATCGACTTTAAAATTCGTACGTTTCACCGATCGATATTTTTTTTATTAATTTCTTAGTTTCATTACGCACAGCACGGAATTAACAATACAATTTTCGAAGATGACCTGACACATAATTCTTGAAAATAAATTGTGTAACAACCGTTTGTGTCGCCGTTTTTTCCGTGCTTTTCAATTTACGCAGTTGATCGCAGTTGTTTTTTTTTTTTTTTTTTTTTTTTTTTTTT